TTTTTTTTTTTTTATAAATGTTGGTGCTAAGAACTCATTTCAAAGCTTTTATATAGCATAATTAGCACACAAGAGAATTTTTTATCAATTAGTACGTTTTACTATATACTTTGTTCTTCATAATCAGTAAAATTATTATTTTTTAATCTTGTAGTGCTTTTGAGCAGAAAGCTAAAACAGTGGAAGAGAAAAAAGAAGAGTATGGATCACTTGAAAGAGAAGATTTACACTGCAGAGAAAGTTTGAAACATGCAAAATCAAAAGCCAAAAGATTGACAAAAATGTTGGAAACTGAAAAAGAAAAGGTAAGTGAAGAAGCTCAGTAAAATTTAAATTTCTTAGAAAAAATATTAATTACAGTGAAATCTTGTTAATCTGAATACACATGTAATTAATCAGACATCAGATTATCTAGATGTCTGGCTGGGCAAATCAGCTGTTTGAATACAATAGACAATGTTAATAGCATGTGTTATCCATCTAAGGGTGAAAAGTAGTATAGATGGTCTTCCAATTGGTAAACAAAAAGCAACTGTATGTACAATAAACTTAGCAGTTTTTACATGTTGTCAATAATTATACAAGTTGCATAATCAAAGTAGCATATTATGCCATTATTATCACATAAATCATCATTTTATTCAAACTCATTCTGCGAGTGAAAATATTTCTCAGAAATATTGTCATAAAGTGGTAACATTGCTAGTGCAGGTGTTATGTGGTCAGCAATTATTCTCTTGTTTCCTGTTCTGATTGACCCTTACTTGACTCTCATGGAGTCATGTATATATTACTGAATTATTCATCCATTAGAAATGCATGTATATTATAATAAGTAGTTGTTTGGATCTGGAAAACAAATATATAGATTATTGAATAAATTTCCCATTATGAAAATCATTTTAGTTGTGAATAATCTGAATTCCTGATGTTTAGACTAAAAAGGATTCAACATACAACTGATAAATGTACTTTGTACATTTCAGTCAAACTTTAGTTAACTCTTTTCATACAGACATGAGGTTTTACAAAGTTACATTCAAAATTGAATTAAACTATTTTATTCTCATGGTGTATGAATGAACTTTGCACAAAAATGTTGCTAATTATCCAAATTTTAATATTGTATAAGTTTTTTGTTTTATCAGCTAATATAAAAACAAAATCCTAAATTTCTCCTAGAATGAGAATTGTGACATTTGCTCTCTAGGTATTCTCTAATTTATTTACTCCTTCTCCAAGATGTATGGAATTTAACTTACATTACTTGGGAAAAGCATAATTTTTATAGCTTGCAATCTTATTTGGTTACAGAGCCATAAACTATAAAATCAGAACCCTTTTGCCACACCCACTTGTCACATCCTATCTTTCAGAAATTGCCAATAGTTCTCTCTGATGTTTTATACTATATTATTTATAACCAATAGAAAGCCAAAGTTTTAATCTATCAAGTGACATATTATATTGCATTGTTTTCTGCACAGAAAACTGCCTATTTTGCTTCCAGTTCAAACTTTATTCATGTAAAAAACACATTGACAAGCTTAGCTGAATTTTTAATGGCCCTTACTGCATAATTAGAAAGCCAAAAAATTATGATAGTTATAGGACATTGTTTGCTTTTTTCATGTTATTATTCTGTAATCTTAGGTGCATTATTTAATTAAATAAAAAATTATATAGTGAAGTAGTACCATTAGTATAAAACAAAGTTAGGTTTAAGAAGCAGTGGACCTGGGCTTGATTTCTGGCTGTTGCAACTATTATTACTACATTATGTTTTTGGCATCTGGATAGTGAAAGTGGATTTTTCTCAGGGTACTCCTGTTTTCCTCCCACAACAAAATTCTGGGTATAGGATCTATAGATCCCCACCCATTGGTTTTGTGCTACTCCCCAACTGCAAATGTTAGCTAGTGCTGTCTTTTGGTTGTTCTGCTTATTGTTTGCCCAAAACATTTTGTGTAGAAAGTATTAGGATCGGTCATATGCTCAGTTTTTTTTTTCTCTCTTTTCTAAATACTTATCTCATGGGTTGGGGTGAAGAGAAAAAGTTTTCCTGAACACCCCCAGTTGCGTTTAATCCTAAACTCTAAGTTTACGATTAAATTTCTTAAATCAAAATTACTATCATGATCTGATGATGATGATGATTCATTGAGAGTCAACAGCAAAAAAAAAAAAAGATGACCCAGGTAAGTACTCTATTTCTTGTTTTTTGTGTGTAGTCTTTATTTATTGTCATTATAAAAGTAACTAAAATGTAAAAATTTGAAACATTATAAGTTAGGTAAAGTTATTTTAGGTAAAATAAAGAAAAAAAATAAAAATAAAATCTATGAGGTACACTCTTGAGCAGCTCACAATTCACGTGCCACACATAATTTGTGAAGATATTGTGAGTACACCTTTGCCAAATGATTTACAACTTGTATGGTGGGATCATTAGTTAGACATGGTTCAAAGGGCAGTAAAACACTAGAATTTAAGTAGAAATAGATGTGAACTGTTAGAGTATAAGCTGTTTTGGATACACAAATGTAGTTCCATGTTACAATTTGAAGTCATTCTAGAAAGAAAAAAGGATGATTTAGATTTATTTCAAACATTTTTATGCTGGTTATGAGGTAGGTCAAATTGACCAACCTTGTTTAAAGTTAGGGTAGAGAAAATAACAGAAAATAAAAGTTTGACTTAAAAAAAGTTTGTAATTTATTTAGGAGATTTTAGAGTTTACACAAGTGAAATTGGACAATTGGGAAGAAAACTATTTTTAATCTTAACATGAAAATCACTTTGCACTCACAGCAGTCAACACTTTGACTTATATGTATCTTCATGGAGAAATTTTTAGTGAAAATAATTCATGAAAAATTTGATTTTGTGTCTACAAAAGACTTGATGCTTAGTGAGAGCTTGAGAATTTTTTTTGTGAATATACACAAAACATATGAGAAGTTATACTATGGAAACTATAAAGGTCAATTTGGGGTCATGAAATTGGGCAATTTGACCAAGCCCATACTGAGAGTGTTAAACTATATTTCAGTCAAACTTTAGTTAAACTGTATTTCTGTTTCATAGATAAAATGTAGGTATTAATGATTTTATGAACCCTATTTATTAGTCTATATTATAACTGTAGTGCAACAAGGAAAAGTTTAGGTAATGATACTTTTGTGTACTCTTTTTTCTTCATTCTATTCTTATTTGAAGTAGTTCATCCTTATGGGTGTACACTTACCGTCCGTGTTATCCTTTAGCTGAGCTTTATACTGGTCTCATATAAAAGATTTAGAGTTATATAATATATGCTTATTTTGTGTGATAACACAGTAATAATGTTTTAGTCTTTAGTATTGGATGTATTTATAACTTTATATAGTAATATAGATAGAAGTTAGACCTGGTCCTCTTGTAGTTAAAAATACCCATAAAACATTATATCATACTAGATCATGCCAAAAAAAAAATTCCTTATTTAAGCTGTTAAGGATGCAAAAAAAATTAATTTGGGAAAATAATAATTTAAAAACATCTGATCAGTTTTAATCACTACTACTCTCATCTGAACAAAAAATTTGTGTACAACTTTCATGGCCAAGCGCAGCCCAGTGGTTAGTGTGTTGGACGATGGATCTGAATTTCCATGGTTTATGCCTTAATGTTGCAATATATTTTGGAATAACAAGTAGGTAAGCAGAGCTTTCCTTAAGTATTTGTAACCAATAGTGTTGTCCAGCTCAAATTTTACCAACCAATATTGAATTAAAACTGGTTGGGGCTGTCCAGAATAAAATTGTAGGCAGAGAGAGAAATCCATTTATTATTTTAGAAGGTGAATGTGAAGTAATATGTCCAATAAACATAAAAATTGTACACTGGTTCTCTGGATATAAAATAGTGTTTGACAGTCTTTTGTAAAGTTGTCAATTTCAGTGTTTAACCCTATTACCACGGGTATCCTTTACTGCGCATGGCAAAAGGTTTTAGTGTTTTACATTCAAAATTTTATGAAACTACTTTTTGTTTATGTTATACCAATTAGAATAGCATAAAATCTTAGCTAATAATCAAAATTTTAATAGTATACAAGTTTTAAGTTCTCAATTCTTTCTCTTGATCTCAGTTGATGACTTGGGCATTGTATTTTTTTAAGACTCTTCGGTACAGCACAGCATAATAGTCAAGGATTCTAAAAAAACTTCTGTTGAGTCAAATAACTGACCAATGAATAGAGTATCAGACTGAACATATTTTCATGTTAAAAGATATGTCTGTACTATTATAGACAGATTTTAGCCAGTTGTCTTTCTCTCTGGAGTATTTTGATCAATTGTTATGTGGGCAGCATCACCTATTTTGAAGATGTTTCTTAAATTTGTTTTCTTTCTGTGTAACATACACTCCTTCTTGTATTGGAAGTTTCCAAAATATGAGAAACATAAGAAATGTTACAGAAATTTTTGAAGTTCAAAGTATTTCCAAATTTGCATAATTTTAATATAATTTTAATTATACATTCAAGGCCAATAACAAATTTTAAACTTCTCTAAACTAAGAATAAAGGATTAGGCCTAAATGAAACAAAAAGTATACATCGGACTTCTTAAGTAGGGCACCAAATAAAATATAACTCACAGTATTCTGTAGTATTCAAACGTATCAAAATTAAAACTGTAATATGAAACAACAGAGAATCACTTAGTAATTTACATCATGTAATATATTATTTTTAACTGACAAGTGTTAAAACTTTTTTCTCTAACCCCTAGTTTAACAACTTAGTCTATTTTACCCACAATAATTAGAAATTAAAAATGAACTGGTATATAAAATTGTAAAAACTAGTTTTATAAAAATTATAGAAAATGTTTCAACTCTCATCTCTACCATTAAATAGCATTTCTTTCCATTTTTGTACAACCTAAAAATTGCTGTACATTTATAGTTGATATCTCTTTATTAACATTAATTTTCAGTTGGTGCCTAAATTATCATTTGGATTAGCATTGTAACTTTGTGCTGGTTGTTTCATAACTCTTATATCACCAGTTCTTTATTTTTTCCAAATATCTTTAATTCAGCAAGTCATTGTATTTTAAATCACTGCCCTCTTGAAATTCAAAGTCAGGGCCAATTAAATTTAAATGTTGAGATTATATTTAACAAAACAGAATATAACAATGATGATTCTTCATAATACCATGAGTTCTGACACTCCTGCAGCTTCAAACATCTCTGCTGTTATTAGTCCTATCATCATGTTTCACTTGTTAGCTTACAAACTTGTTTAAATTCTCATGATCTTGTCTGTGCACAGAAATGATTCCAAAAGCTTATCTTTTGTTTTATTAATCCGTAACATACTATCCCATAATTTGAAAAATGTAAACACTTCACCATACTCACAACTGAAATATTAGGCTTTTTCAATTGCAACTCTTTTGTGTAGCCCACTTCTTACAACTGCTTTCAAACAGGACTGTTGTTGATTTTAACACCATCCATATCCTATATTTCTATATTTATTTTTGGGGAAATGTTCTCAGTTAATTTAATGTTGAAATTCTTTTAATTTATACAACCCTTCCCTCTGGATGTTGTTCATGGAAGTTCTTTAATTATATTAGAATTTAACTTCATCGTGAGTCATGACTGGTGAGAACCTGTTGTGTTGAGTGCACATCTGATTATAAAATTTCGAATTTTAAGGAAAGAAAAATAATTATTGTAACTTGCAACTTTATTTCAACAATTTCATATTTTAAAAACTAGAATTGAGATTTTCAATTTTGTAACATTTAGTTAGTGTAATTTGCAAAGAAAACTTTTTAAAATGGTCCAATTTTCATTTCTGTGCAGCTTGTAGAAGTCTTACCTCCAAACAATGCATTTATTGATTTTTTTGGCTTTTTTCTGATCATACCAAAGTTATAGGTTGATATTTGCTGAGAAAGAATTATTTCCTGAAAATATAATGATCAATTTCTTGTTTCTCATTAAGTAATTTACCTTCTTTTTTAGTGGTTTTATTACCACAGATATTTGTTTCTGCATTTAAATGATGTCATAGTATGTGATCTGAACAGATAGCCCATTCTGTAGCTTTGTGCATAATTACAAACAAAAAAGTAGAGCAGATTTGAAATACTTACATCAATGCAGAGTAAAGTAGTTTGATATTAATTACCTGGAGTTTCTGTAGGAATAAACAAAAGAATCTAATGGAAAGTTTAGAGATATTTCAATATTCTTTAGTAACAAATTGTACTGATCTGGAAATTCTATAATATATTCTTTAGTGTTAAATTATGTTTGCTTGAAAGTTATAGAAATCTCAAGGCATTAGGTAAGCTTTAACAGATTTGCGAGTACTGTAGGTGAAGGCAAAATATTCCAGTGACTCAAATCCTTATGTATTGAATATTATTGTTAAATTTATCATCTTCAGACAATGTATACAAATAAAATAACTTACTATTTATTATATGAATTGATCTCGACATATGATCATAGCAAAAATGTCAAAACCTAGCTTGACAAATGCAATAGGGATGCAATTTTGAAAGCTGAAGTCTTTGGTCAGTGGTAAATCTTTGTCAGTTTTTGACAAGTTTCTTATGAGTTAAAGTCGGAAATGGTGCTACTGCAGTCAGTAAAGTAAAGAGTAAAAATAAATGTTAATGTTTATCATTTATGTTGAAACTGACTGGACATACAGAATGGAACTTTCTGACCAGTAAGAAAAAAAATTTTAATTTTAGGATTAAAAAAAGGTATTTTAATGTTCTTTCAAAACAATCTAACAATAACATTTTGGAAATTTTACAACCTAAAAAATTATAAAAATACTAAATCTAATTATCAGAATTCTTTTTATGCTGAACCTATATACTTTTTTAGTAATGTGTGCAAAGTTTCATGCAACTTGGTTAAATATTTGTTTTTAGTTTCACACTTCCAAGCATTAATCCTAAGTGCAACATAACATTTAATTTTGAGTATGTCTAATGGTTAATGTAGTCAGACTTTTGCTGCAAAACTATGCAAAATGACTGGTGCTAAAAGAGGTATCATCAAATTAGACTATTTAGTCTGGTGAGTAGCCCAAGAGTTGGCAGTGGATGCTATTGACTACCTGCCTTCTCTCTTGTCTGTCAATTAGGAAATGCTATGTGCAAGATAGTCCTTTGTGTGAAAATTTTGGAACAAACATTACTAATACTTGCATATTTATTACAATTTAAATGTAAAATATTTTTGTTGTTTTTAGCTTTGTTGAAACTTGCAGTGCTTTTTCAAGATGTTATAACTGTTATTTATTCATTGCAATTATTTTTTTGTTATCTGCACTAGCTGTCTCTAATTTAGCAGTTAGTCATCACCATCCACTGTCAACTCTTGGGCTACTCTTTTACCAACAAATAGTGGGATTGACCATCACTTTATAACACCCCTATTGCTGGAAGGGCGAGCATGTTTGGTGGGATGGGGATTCGTACCAGCGACCCACAGATTGAGATTTGATCGATCTAACCATTTTGGCCATGTGAAGCCCTTTGCAATTATTAAACAGGTGTGAAAAATAAGCAGTTAGTCATGAATGAGTATCAATGGACCAAACCTTCTCAGTCTACATTTACTGGTGTCCAGTATTTCATCCACAGTTACATTCTGATAATATTTCTAAAATGAATGGTTACAATTATTTTAATTGTAAATATTATTTGAAAGTAACACAAAGAAGCTCAGCAGGAAAGATGCTGCTAATATTTTGTCAACAAGAGCTCCCAATATTTCAGGCTTTTATAGCAAAATTAGAACTTCTTTTCAAATTAAACTGAGTCTTATGACTATTATTGTATATTTATTTTATGATACTTTGTTATATGTTAGCTCGAACAGCTTAAATCACAACCAAAGAAACTTGAAGAAGAAGTTGAAAATTTAAAAAGAAAGAAAGAAAAACTTGAAGGTGATAAACAGCAAGAAGAGGAAAAGTTAGCTAAGGTGTGATATGTCTTCTAAAATATTTTTCTTTTTGAAGTGAAAACAGATCATTGTTAGATAATACTTTGACAGTATTACTTGTTCAATCTAAAAAGTAGATAAAAAATAAACACACACACACACACACACAAAATTGTTTATAAAAATGTTTTTTGGATGTTTAAACAATTTTAATGCAACTGATCACAGAATTTTATGGATTTTATCAAATAGTTTTAAAATTTTCACAAGAATTGATAGTATAATTCTTTAGGATTAATCCTTAGTATATGGAAGGATCAAAGTATGCTGTCATTACCTTAACAGTGTTACTTTCAAAACTTAATTAAACAAATTGTGATAAACTTGGCATCAAAACTTAGTTTATAATTCATATTTTAACTTTGTATAAATTTTAATTTTGAAAGGAAGTGTTTAAATAAATTTTAAATTTTTTGTATTACATGATGCTTCTTTGCTCCAAATTGACCATTTTAGAATTTTTTTCTACCCGTAAAGGATCTTCTAAGTTTGGCATAAATTACTCACTTATAATGTAGATATTTCTAAGCCATAATTTAAATATATAACCTTCAATCTTTTTGCTTTACTGAGATATAAACCAGAAAGTCAATCTTACATGCCTTGCTCTCCTATCACACCTTGTCTTTCAGAAAATGTCAATTATACTTTCTGATAGTTGTTATACGACTATTTATAACCAATATTTTAACTTGTTAATTTTTATAAGACATATCTATCTTGTTTTGATGATAGTTCTTAAGTTATTTGTCATTAAATTCATTGTTTGCTGTTGCCAATTCGCTAACTAAAAGAATTATTATAACCCACTTATAGCCTGGTTAGAAATCCAGTAAAATTATAATAGTTTTAGGACATTGTATTTTATGTACATGTTAATATTTTGTATTCAAAATTGCATATCAGAAATGAATTATAATTACTTTATGTACCACTAAAAATCTTACCAAAAAGTAGGGATAAGATTTGTTAAAGCTTCAAGTACAAGAGCCCATTTGTAAGTTCTAAATAAATTGTTGAATGTATATTTTTTATTTCTTGTTATAAAAGTAACTGAAATGTAAAAATTAGAAACTTGTTAGGTTACATAAGAAAATTTAAATGAAAAATATTAATCAACAAAAATACTTGTGACAGCATGCACACATCACAAGGAAATGTGCAAAGCTTTGAGTGAACAGAGATGCCTTATTGTGATAACTTGTTTTTGACATACTCTTAATGCATCTGTAAAGCCACAAATCTAACTGATCCTGAGATTTGGAAAGTATTAGCTTTGGCTTTAAGATTGAATAGTGTGTGATTATCAGTTAGAATGTGCTGTCATTCTTTAAATAATTAAAAGGGTAATTTAAATTTATTTTGTATTTTGCAACTTTTCATTTTGTTCTTCATTGCCAGTTTCCCTATAGTTAGTGTTAGGATATAGAAAATAACAGACAAAATTAAAAAAGTTTTATTGAAAAATTCTGAGACAATACCTAACCTCCTCACACAGAATAGCTTGATTCCTTTGTGCATCTGACTATGAGATTTGCATGCCACTAGTCTTGAGCTACCTCCCACCAAACAAAATGTGTTTAATGTAAACTATGCTAGTGCATGATAACAATAGCACTCCACCAATACGAGAACGACAAATCCTATTTGTGCGGTAGCTTCCTCAAAGCATTTACATTTGAAATATTTTTATTATTTTCCTCAGCATTGTCTCAAACAGACTTTTTCTTTTTTAAATTGATAAACAATTACATGAGGTTTGCCATAGTTTAAAAAAATTAGATTTTTTCAGGTTTAACTGATTTCTTTAATTTCACTAAACAAAAAAGGGAAACAAATTTTTTTTCTTACCCCCATTGAGTAATTTCACTTCCACTTCATCCCATGATGGTGATAATGTTGATAACATTTGACTTGGGGCAACTGAGACTCATTGTCTGTGGAGGTGTGATACCCATTGTTCAATATAATATGGGTTCCTTCATTAATACTGGGCCTCCTCCCATCCATTCAGCAAACATTCCTTCTCCCCAGTTTGAACTTGACCAGGATGACAATTTTGACTATCTGTTTTCCCCCCACCAGGTTTTACTCTAGTCATTGCTTTATCTGTGGAGGAAACATGAAAACCATACTCAACATTACTTTGTCTTCCCTTCTTTGTCATATCTTAGGGTCCATGTGTACTTGTTTCTCGAACAACTGTGCACCTGCAGTAACATGCCTCATCCTCTTCATCTGCTTGTCTCTTTTGTCTTGGCTTATAGCCATTTTTTATTTCTATTTCTTTATTCTCATTCATTGGAATCTCTTTTTACCTGCTTGAGAGGTGGGCCCCTTAATTTCTTTTTCCCTTGCTAGTGCTTAGTTTTCAAGCCTTCTTCTTCTTCTTATCACCTTCCTATGTTTTCTAGGGGTCCATTGTCTTCCATTGTGCACCCCTCCTCTCTTTTTCTTGAGGAATTGTCTTGGTGGATCTGGATTGTCTTCTGTATTCTTGCTAGCTTTTAAAAACAGGGTTTTGCAATCACCCATTGCACTGTCTCCAGATGTTTAATGGGATCTTGGCACTTCCTCCCTTCAAGTGGAGCATGGGAGACTCTTGCCACTTACCAGTTCCTAGCCATTGGAGTGGTGGACCTCTGAGAGTTCCTCTCTGATTATGTACATCACAATATGATGGGAAGTAGGGTAGTGGTGGCACTTATCTTTGTTGGTTGGGTTACCCCTCAAATACCTAGTGTGCCCTTGTCTTGCTGCAGGATGGGTTCATCTTCCCTGTCTTTTTCTGTCCAGTTGAGTTGAGGCCAAACACACACCATATGGACTGATTGCACCCTAACAACGCTACAGTTTTTGGCTCACTGACAGTTTTTGTGTGTGTTCTCTGTAAATATTCTGCCCATCTCTGTGACATTTGGGATTCTTTTGCCTTTCTTTCCAAGCAAAGAGTATACCTTGGTTGAGATGAGACACAGTCTTCCATAGGTGTGCCCTCATGGAGCTCCTGCCATCAGGTGTCACACTTCATGGGCTTTTTCTTTGTGCACTTTCTGAAGGGAGCTCGTCTAGGTTTAATGTTTGCACCAGGCCCTTCACCATTTCAATATGGGATTCTAGCTATTTTTTGTAAAGAGGTGAGGTATTAAGATTTCCTTACCTGAAAATGTATTTCTGATACTCACACAAAAATTCCCACGTGTCTTCTTCAATCCTGGTGCACTTTCTTCTTGCCTCACCTAAGAATAAAGTTATTTAAAGTACAAATGCATAATGGGAGCTACTGTCTTCTTCAATCCTGGTGCACTTTCTTCTTGCCTCATGTAAGAATGAAGTTATTTCAAGTACAAATGCATAATGGGAGCTACTGTGCAAGGAGTTTGTGTTACCCTCCTATTAGTGGAGTTCTGTCTTCGCATGTTGATGTTATCATGCACTAGTGCACTTCATGTTAAGCACATTTTTAGATGGAAGGTAATTCTTTGATCTCCAAATCCATCTGATGTTCTTTACCAGTTCTTGCATTGAAGTCTTTAATTAAACCAAAAATAAAAAATTGGGAATTTAAAAATCTGTATATAGGAATCATAAAATAGTAATGAAACAAGGTTAGAGATACTTTAGACATTATTTACTCAAACTACAAATCCCTATTTTGACTTCACCAAATATATTTCTAGGTAACAGCATGGATCCAAAATATGGGTTTGTAGTTTGAGTAAATAATGTCTACAGTATCTTCAGCCGTGTTTTCTTACTGTTTTTTTTATGTTCCTTATTTGTAGGTTTCTAAATTCCCATTTTTTGTTTATGTTGTTTTAATTAGACTTCAATGCAAGAACTGGTAACAAACATCAAATGGATTTGGGGATTAAAAAATGAGAAGAGGAATGGACTCTAGAGAGGAAATATGAAGATGAAATCTCAAATACTGAGGGGAAAAAAATTGGTGCAATGATGAAGGATATGTAATTTTAAGTGGCTGAACCAAAGGTAACTCTGAAGAGAACCTGACCTATGTTGGAAGTGGAAGAGGCTCAATCATTGACTATGTCAACACAAAGAATGACACACAAAATTATGTTTTTGATAATGTATATTATAGAAAGAATCGATTTGACCATCTTCAAATTGAAATGAGGTTGAAAATTAAAGATGAGTTTGTAGCTAACCTGTTGTGTGATTGATAGAAAATGAAAAATGAAAGAGATTTTTTAATAAGAGTGCTGAGGAAATTAGGATCAAACATAAGACAAGAACTACAAGGAGCATTATGAGGATAGCAAATACAAGCAGAAGAAGAGATTGGTGAGAAAATTACTAAAACAATTTAGGAAAACAAGAAAAGAAGCTGGTAGGACTCATTATATTATAGTGAGAAGAAATTTCAGTTAGAGATATTTGGAAATGCAAAATCAGAAGAAAAAAAAGATTTGGAAGGAAATCAAGAATAATCAAGTATAGTAAACTCTTCTGGCAACATGTTAATAAGTTCAGAGAGCAAGCTAAGAAGCAAGGGTTTAGAATAACTGCACACCAGTGGAGGAAATACTTTGTGCTGTTATTAGGAGAAGAGACAAGTAGCAATAATTGGTGGCAAGAACTCCAACACAAATTATTGCCATTGGAAAATAACAAACTGGATGCTGCATTCGAACGAGATTAATTGATTAACTCAATTAAAAAATTGAAGAATGGCAAATTGCTGGGTGAGAACATGAAAATTGACAAATTTTACAAGGCTTTTATGCAGGAAATGAGAGAGGATCTTTTGCAACTACTCAATGAGATCTGGAAGGGTGGTATCTGCTCTGACATTTGGAGGGATAGACTAATTTGCCCATTCAACAAAACTGGCACAAAAGGCACTACAAAGAATTATAGAGGAAGCATGTTACTTAATGCTATGTATAAGATATTTCCCAACATGATGACTATACATCTTGCAGACTGGCTCAAAACAGAAAACCAAGCAGGATTCAGGATAAATTACGTAACATGAGACAACATTTTTGTGTTGAATACATTAATTAAAATTAAGCTAAGACGAACAGGAGGAAAATTGTACGCATGATTTATTGACTTTAGAGCAGTTTTTGATAAAGTCAATAGGAAGAAGCTATGCAAAAAGATCTGGATGAAAGTACAGAATGATCAAGAGTATTTATAAAGAAACAAGGAATGTCATCATTTCACCAAAAGGACAATCGGATAAGTTTTGGACTTCAAAAACAGTGAGAAAAGGATGCCCGTTAAGCCCAGTGTTATTTAATCTTTTTATCAATATTTAGGAAGATGAACAGATCACAAGGAATAATGGAGGAACTGTTATTGGAAATAAAAAAAAAATAACTGATCTTAAGTGAAGGGAAGGATAAATGTCTCATTTTATATTGACATTTTGGACAATGCTGCACTAACATCTTTGATGCAACACTACATAAGTGTCCTTACATCTAATAACATGAAAACATGCCTTGCTATACTGCTTTATCTGTTTATAGGAATTTGTGTGAAAACAACAACATTGAAAACCTGTAGGGGTTAGCACAGAACCCTTACTTAAATGCAATTGAATGACTTTGGAATACCACTCGAGAGCCAGGGTTAACAGAACACAATCCACTAACGAACTGATACTTGCTCTTAAGGAGTAATGGTGCAATATTACTCATGATATTTACCAACATTAAGTACAAGGTGTTAGTGACAGGCTTCAAGCTGTGATTGTTGCCAAAAGTGGACCAACACCCTATTAGAAATTTAATAAAGGATTATAATGTATTTGCATATTTCCTTACTGTCCCAATACTTTTAATAATATAGTGTCAATGCAGGCAACTTTCTCAAACAAATATTTGAAAACTGAAGTTTTGTAAATTGTTACAACTATTTCTAGCAATAAATAATTATTGCAATATTTAACACCCAAGCAATTTTGTGTAACATAAACTTTTGTAACTTAAAAGATTATAATTGTATCAAACAGAAATGAGAATGTGATTTCTAGTGAATAAGTGTAAAGTGCTAATAACACATAAGTGGTGTTTTATCTGCAAAGTTTTGTGTAAATCTAGCCCTTAATTTATTTAATATTATTTTCATGTTCAAATTATTGTCATATTATTAAATACAGAAATTTTACATTACTGTAAATCTTTGAATAACATGTTTTGTCATCAGGTCATGGCAAGCCTGAACAAAGAAACCCAAGGACTTCAGGAGGAAAAAGAAAAATTTGAGACGGATCTTATGGAACTTCAGAAAGCAGTGAATGAAACTAAATCAAAGGTAACTTATATATAAATTTTATGAATATTTTGAGATAATAATATGAAAAAGATCTTTGATATGATATCACAAGTAAATTGTATAATAGCAAAATATATTGAAAGTGTTTATCATAATCACCTAAAGTTGAATATGTAGGCCTACAAAATTTGGTAAATAAAAAATTGAATTGTTTTGCTGGGATTTTATTCTTTTTTATCAAATTAATTTTATTGCTTTCCCCATAGTTATATTTGTGATATTTAGAATAATCACAAAACAGAACCTTGTGAAGAAATTAATTTTTTTTACCCAAAAGTAAAGGATTTGAAATGCAGAATTTTAAATTTTTAATTTTATTAGAATGTTATTAAGTAATTTTATTGGTGAGCTTTAGGCATTTGAAATATAGGTTAGAAAGTTCTAACCATATGAGGGTAATTTTATTGGTGAGCTTTAGGCATTTGAAATATAGGTTAGAAAGTTCTAACCATATGAGGGTAATTTTATTGGTGAGCTTTAGGCATTTGAAATATAGGTTAGAAAGTTCTAACCATATGAGGGTAATTTTATTGCACTAGTTTTTAGTGTTTGAAGTTCCTAACCTTATGAGGATGTTACTAGGTAATTTTTATTGCTTTACATTAGAAATTTGAAGCACAGAATATAAAATTCCTTTAGTCCAATAGCAGTAAATTGATATATAAAATCTCAGAAATTGGCCAGTGTTACTGGTATACTTAGTTTGTTTATTAAGATTTTCAAAATTAAAAGTCACAACTATCACCTTAGAAAAAATACTGTGACAATAATATATGTAAATTATTTAGGAGAATTGTGTGAATTTGTATCTGTAGATGGACATTGCCCAGTCGGAACTTGACCTGTACCTTAGTACTGAAAAGACAGAGAAAAAGAAACTACAAGAAATTACCAGAAACCGTGAGAACACCATAAAGTTACTTAAAGAAAGACAGAGGTACATTTGCTTTAAAAAATAATTTCATATGGCAAATAGTGTGCAATATTCCCTTTTCCTTTGTATTCCTTTCCAGCTGACATTGTTTTTCCTTTTAGAATATATGTTATTTGATTGCAGATTACTCAAGCTTCAACCATTAAGGCCTTCCATGAAAATTACCTTAACTGCTTAACTAATAATTATTTAACTTGAGTACCAGCATAGGTGGTGAGTTCTGCAAACTGGTTACCTTCTTCCTTGTCAGCAGTTTTAAATTAGGGATGACTATGCCCAAGTCAGGGATCTCTTACAAGACTGTTTAGCCCATGTGTCTCATAAGATGTCATTTCAAATACTTATACTTATACTTAACTTACTTCTTGAAATTGTACTTAGACATTAATCACCAAACTTCTATGAAATTAATATACATTTTTAACATGTGCTGGCATGTCAACCAATGAACTCTTGTCTGACAATTAACTAAGTCTTTTAACTTAACTTCAGATTTAATATTTAAACATTGATCCCTGAAATTTTGTTTGACACATATTAAACTGAACTGTTTATTCTAGACTGAAACTGTAACTACCAGTCTCTTATCTGACAGGTAACTTTTTATCTAAGTTACTCAAATATATTAATATCTAGACTTCTGTTTGACAGATAGCTTTATTTCATAGTTCAGATTTCCCAAAATACTTAACCACTTGATTCCATGTAGACAGGTGACATTTTACTTTAGTTACTCAATTACTTCTGCATGTGAGCTAGCTAGATAACTCAAACAAACATTAACCATTGAATCTATACATACAGATTAATTAGAATATATAAACATTAATGTCTTTTAATCTTTTCAACTTAACTATATTACTGAAGCATTAACCACTGAAACTCCAGCATGTCACTTAACTAGATTACTGAAGCATTAACCACTGAAACTCCAGTGTGTCACTTAACTAGATTACTGAAGCATTAACCACTGTCTCCCTGCATGTAGGAAACTATGTAAATTAAACATTGATCTTTGAAACATTAACCATTACACTCAATGTTTTTTCTTAGCTAAATACTTCAAATTAGATTTCAGAAACCTTAGTCTTGTCTGTCATGAACTATAAGTGTTAAGTTTGTTTTATCCATTTTAATTGAAAAAGCTTTCTTTTTTAAAACAAAAAAATTATAGATACTCACGTTGATTTACTTAAGATGAAATAGCATTGAGAATGAAATCAAGTTCAGTACATACACCTTATCAATGTCTAGAGAAATATGTATTTCTAAAGTTATCTGTTATGTTTGACTGTTGAACTATGGATGTAACCCTTCTTGTTTTTAACTCTTCTTTTCATAGTTCTCTTCAAGAACTGGAAAGTAGAATTCCAGAATGTGAGAAAGCTCTTCATGCAGTTGAAACAGAACTCCATCATGTAATGGCTGAAGAGGCAAGAATATCAGCAGAGGTACTCTGGTTAATGGATTTTATTTATTTTAATTGAAATAATTTCCCAGGACACAAGCATCTTTGGAATATATACTCAATTGGGGTTCCAAAATATTAATACAAAACGTCTAACTCGGTGTTTACAGTTGGAAACACGAAAAAAGTACTTTTGTTACAATACCTTACCTCAACTTGCATAACAGCTTTTCTTGGCCTGAACTGCCCTCTATATTTGCACATTTTTGTTCACCATTAGCCTTGATATGCCGACCTCCCCTCATGTTTTCACGTGAGGCAGTTCCGTGTTAACATGCAAATAAGCATGCAACAACTCTCCACCAGTAGGAGTGTGACGCAACTAGCACAGCTGACTCCCTCTATGCTCCTTAGCTCAGCTTTACTTCTCAATTGGTGTTCATGGTGTTTAGATGTGTTTTTCACTAGAGCTATACTTGCAGAATTTTAATCAGTTAGTTGTTTTTTGGAGAACTTAGCTTTTTAAAATTTTTTACTCTTCAGTTCTCAAATGTTTTGTTTGTACACATTAATATTACATGTCTTTTATAATTTTTTTTGAGCTCCCAATTATTATTTTTTATTATTTCCACTCATAATTATCATGAGTTCAGTGTTTAATGTTATTACTACTACTGCTACTCCTACAGCAGTTATCCTTACTTTGTCTACAATAACTTCGGGTCCACAGTTTTCAGTAGAAAATGTTATGGCTTTCGTATACTGGCAGTTAGCTACTTTTATGCAAGCTTCAGATTTACCTGAAGATTATCACGTCATACTTTGTTCAGAAATACTGAACAAGAGGATGATGATTTCAACAGCTTGTTTCCTCCCCATCCTTTGCCACACATTCATTTTTTGCTCCAGTGGATGTACCCAGGCCTCCTCCTCCTTTCCTGGAGGTGATCAACCATGTTTGTCACGTTTTGTCCTTATCTCCTGTTTTCTCTGATTTCTCTCCTTCTCTGTTAACCATATCAAGATGATGCCATTATTAAACCCCTTTCAGCATTTGTTACTGCATTACATTCAAAATTTAATTAAACCACTTTACTATCAGTATATTTTAATGAAATTATTATTATCAAGTACTTTATAATTAAAAGTTTTATATTATCTAAGTTTCTATTCATTTACTTCAAGAGAAACCTCTGAAACAATGATTAAAACAGCATTTTTTTTGTATGGGTGCCATCACAGTTACAATTATCAACTTTAAGAGCTGATATGAAAGAAACTATACGTGTAAGTTAGACATTTCCATTCAGACAGTCAAAGTAGCCCCTATTTAGCTTTTTTACAAGTAACTCAAGTACATTCCAGGAACTTTTGTCCCAGAGCAAGCTGTTGTAAAAGTTCCTCAGTTTAAGATAAGCTATGCCCACTTGCAAAGTAAAATCTGTGTTGCTAAGCAACAGTTTTACACTGAATGGTATGTTTATAACCAATAGAGAAAGCAGAGTTTGCAGAATCTTTCCTGTACACTATCTTTTAACTACCGTGATGTTAATGTTGACTACGTAGCCTTATAATTCCTATTTATGTTGATGGACATTGTTGCCCCTAGTGATTGGCTGTTTTTCTCACCTTATACATATTAGTTTGATAGAGAGTGAAATTGCATTTAGGATTTACTTTTATATTTTAGTTAAATATGTATTATTTGTGTTTTATTAAAGTTCATATTTGAAAGGTTTAAGGATTTGATAAATTTATTCAATGTTTTGCCTCATTAAACAATTGTTCACAAAGTTATGAGGGCAAACAAAATTTTGCCAGATGCTTAACCCGGCTGTCTATGCTGATGTTAACGTTATATTGCCTGTGGACACCCGTTGATGTGTGTTGACATAAATAATAAATGGTAAAGAACAGGAAAGGAAAATATAACATTAAAAATAAACTATAAGTGAAAATATAAAGACATGAAATCATGCACATTAGCCAGAGAAGATATTTTAGCACTATTCTATAAAGGTAAGTACATATTTCAATTTCATTGCACTATATGTTGATGATAATAGCTAGAGGAGGTTATATAGTTTATGAAAATGAAATGTATAAACTGTAATATAATAAATAGTATTTTAATACTTAAAATGAAAATCACCTTGGTGGTGAACTACTCAGAGCCCAAGTGCAAATAACTACATTAAGTAACATATTTATTACAAATAGTAGAAAAAATCAAAATTGGATATTTTTCTGAAACTACATACTAGTTTCATATTTGTAAAGAAATTTCATGAGAGACACATAACCTATTAGCAACCTTTGTATAGGGTTTTGATAGGGTTAAGTGAAACATCTTGAGCCCAATATCTTGTTCTCCCTGTCCACCAGATATTGGGAATCATGCCAGTAGGTTTGCAGACCAATTACATTATGGGGTCAATATGCATTGACCCGCATGTAATATGGAAGCCCATGCTTTGGCTTACCGTTGGTCTGAGTTTTCTTTTTTTGACACACAATAGTTGGATTCTCTTCTGCCTCTGTGAGGTCTGGATCCCAATACTTCGATCATATTTTCCCAACTTCAGTTTTCCTGTATCTGCCTCACCTTTTATCCTCCACTCACCTTTAGTCTGAGGCCCTTCATCCTTTCCCTGAGGGGTTTTTGGTGGAGATTTGTGCCCTACTATTTTCCACTGACACGATTATCCTCTTCCACCCTTTCTCTCCAAACATGGCTCTTCTGTTGTTGGGATGCACATTTGTCCTGTATCCTTTTACTCCCAACCTTTTTGCGGGACTTATGTATGGCACTCCTTTTTAAGGCAAGAAGACTTTTGAGGGATTCCTGACTCATTAGAATCCAAAGTCAAGTCCGCCCATTTTCACACCTGCCTTTCCTCATTGGCTTCCTGTTTGTCTAATCCTCTTCCTGAGCCTGTTCTCATGTCTCATCCCCCTCCTTCCTCTCTTTATTGGTTCTTGCTTTGTGGGTCTCCAAGGTCAATCATCTGTTTTTCAACAATGACTTCAGCACTCATGGCAGTCGCAGGGACTATGTGGAAGGTACAGGTGCAGTGGGGGCTTTTGCATTTTGTTACTGTGTGGGAACTCACTACAGACCATTGGATTCTGTGGGTTCTTTCTGAAGGGCTTGTTCTTTGTTTTTCTTCCACTCATCCCCTGTCTCCTCATCCAATTTACTCCCCCTTCTTAGGATCCCATTTCCAGCCAGTGTCTGTCCAAGATGATTCTTGACCTTCCTTACAAGGGTGTTGTGGAATAGGGGGACCCTTCCCAGCCAGTTTTCTTTCCCATTTGTTTGTTGTCCTCAACAAGACTGGGGACTGGCTCCTTATCATTGATCTTTCTCCCTTGTACTGCTTCCTTGACCTTCTTCAATTCACCATGTAGTCATACCTATCTGTGATGGGTTTTCACTCCTAATTTGTAGATGTCTCACAAGCTTACATCAATATTCCCACCTCCCCAGCATCCTGGCATTGTCTATGAGGATTGCATCTATCAGTTCCGGTCTCTTCTCTTTGATCTGTCTTCGGCTCCCTACATTTCTGTGTCAGGTAGTCAAGGCCTTTGTCCTGCTTCTCCATTTTAGGAGCCTTTGTTTCCATGACATGGATGACTGGCTGCTTCTAGCTCCTTCTCACACAACATCTTTTCTTCACACTCTGTTTCTTTTTCAAGAAGCTGCACTGGTAGGTTGGCTGGTCAGGGGCCAAGGTAGAAGAGTTTTTTCCTTCCCCCACTCAATACCTTGTCCATCTCGGGGAAGTTTTTAATTCTCATCTCAACCTTCACCAATTCACTTGTGATCTATGGAGCTTCTCTTTTGGACTGTTTCCTCCTCTCTTTCTCCATCTGTGTGAGAGATTCTATCTCTTTTGGGGATGTGGGCTTTTTTGAAGGCTCTCATTCCCCTCGATTGAGCTCACATGTGACTTTATCAGTGAGCTTTACAAGATTAGTGGAATCTTATTCAATATCCCTTGGACATCTCTGTTCAGTTCTTTCCTTTCCAGCATGTAGACTTTTCCTGGTGGTTGAACTGAGACAACACCACAGGGGATGATCTTCCTCCTCCTCCTTATCTGGAGGTGCACCTCTTCACGGATGCTTCTCTTTCGGATTGGGGTGTACATCAGGACATACAGGAGATTTTAGACATTGGTCTGTAGCAGAGCCATCTCTGCATATCAATATTTTAGAGCTGCTTACTATTCATTGGGTTTTGGTTTATTTCCTTCCATCCCTCCGGAACTGGTCGGTTATGATCCATTCTGACAACTCCACGATTATCTCATATATCACTTGGTAAGAGGACACTCAGTTGAGGTCTTTGTTTTTGTCCTACAGCCATCACATTTGTTTGATGGCAAATTATATAACAGGTGGCCTGAATCTGGTTGTAGATCATTTATTGTGCCATGATATGATTATCCCCATGGAGTGGTCCCATTGACCCTCAGGTGTTTGGTTGGCTGTGTTCACTATGAGGTACTTTGGAATTGGATGCATTTGCCACCCACCTGAATTACAAGCTTCTCAGGTTTTGGTCTCCTATTTCTCATCCTTTGGTTGTAGCTGTTGGTGCCCTCAGTCAGGATTGGGGGGATTGTTACCTTTGTGCATATCCTCTTACCTGTTCTCTTCCTTATGCCCTCGCCATCATACAAGCCACTCTGTGTCAAGTCCTCTTGGGGTGCACCCACTCCTGCTGACACCTCTTCCCTTTTCACCCACCCTCCTCAGACAGCCTCATTTGAGTACACTACATCCTTCTCTTCCCACACTCTGTCTTCACACATGGCTTTTGTCAGGCCCCTTGCCATATGGGTTGGACTATCCTCTCGAGTTGCTTCCCTATTTCCCATTCAATGTGCCCTTCCTCCATGTTAGTTTACCAGTGTAAGCAGTATGTTTACCATCATGGTTTTTTTCATCCTATCGTACTCTCCTTCACTTGACTTCCTTATCTGACGTTTTGACAAGGGGCTATCGGTATCCACTATTGCTGGCTTAGTGTGCAGTATTGTCAGTCACCATCCATTTCAAAAGATTTTTTCATATCTTCACTTCTTCAGTTCTCACTTTTTTTTCTCCAACCTTTGTTGTCTTCCACATCCTACCACCCTCCCTGATTAGAACCTCAATGTCATCATCTGTGCTCTCACTCTTCCTCCCTTTGAGCCCATGTCTTCCTGTTCCTTATATCATTTCTCCTTAAAGACCTTTTTGCTTCTCCTCTTGGCTTGTTGGATGTTGATGTTTAATATTTTTCTCTTCAATGTCTCTCACACATTATATCGCCATTCCTATATCATTCTCTACTCATATTGGTCTTTTCTACCCAAACCTTCGGCCACACATGAGGGTGAATTTGCCCTCACTCCCATTTTTCACCTTTATCCATGTTTCGATCTGGATCACCTTTTATGTCCTATCCATATGGACTGGATGATTTACACTACAATGCATTTCATCCCTCTAGCTGAGCATCCTCCTTTCTACCATCACCTGGATGTCAATTCCCAGGGGTGTTGGTTGAAGCAGGACCAGCCACACAATACCTCACATGTGAGTGGTTCAGGAACCCTCCTCCTACAGTGAACTGGATGATTCATTCTCAGTGCTGTCTTGTCCTGGACTGGAGTTGAACCACCACGTTGCTGTCCCGATGTCAGTTATTGTTTCTGTTGGACATGCACAGGGGATGATGCGGGTCCTTTGAACAGGACATCTTTTCCAGTTCCTGTGTTTGAGATAAATGGTAGAGAACCCTCTTCCTATCATGGGCCAGGTATTCATATCACATTACAGTTGATGTTGGTTGAGGTATAACACTATTATGGTCTACTGCACCCTAGCCATCTTACACCAGGGGTTCCTTCATTTAATTTATGAGATTCCTTCTGTGATTCAGCCCTTATCACGACACGTCAATTTCATGGACAAAGATTATACCTGGCTCAGAAGTGGTGCAGTCTTCCATGGGTGTAATATTTTCTATATTCACACACCCTTTGGACACTTTCTGATGAGGGCTTATCTAGTTAGTGTTACTTCAGTCCCTCTACTAGGTCTCTGTGGGATTCTAGCTGTTATGTGAGTGAAGGTAAGATATCATATTGAAAGTTAACATTTTCCTACACTTAAAATGTATTTCTGATAGATTATTACCTCCTCTCATACTTCCTACCCTTTTTCCTCACTTCCAGTGTGTTTTTCTTTTTATGTTGCTTAATCTCAAACTGAAGTTGAGCTAAGCTGCATAGAGGGAGTCAGCTGTGCTAGGAGTTGTCACACTCCTACTGGTGGAGAGTTGTCGCATGCTCATTTGCATGCTATCATGCAGCTGCCTCACATGAAGGTAGGTGAGAGTATTAAGGCTAGTGGCGTGTGAAAAGTTGAGCATATAGAGGTCAGTGTAAATTGAGAAAAGCTTTTCTGTAAGAAGAAATAGGAATCTATTGGAAATACATTTTCAGTGTAGGAAAATGTTAACATTTTCCCAATTATTAGTTTATTTGAGTGTTGTATGTAATATCACTAAGGAAAATAATAGAGTTGATTTTTCAGAGATTTTGGGAAGTGAAAATCAAATAAGTTTTTTAATGTGTAAAATGCAACAGAAAATAACATTAAGAACTGTATGGTAATATAATTTTTTTTTGTTTCTTAGAACTAAATGTGTCCATTATATTTTAGCTATTTTTCTGAAAATTAATATTTTTGTTTTTATCTGATATTGTGTGAAAAAAACATGCATATAAGAAAATGTTTTACAGTACAAATTAAAGAGGATGAAGGTCGAAGAAAGTAAAAGTGCCATGCAGGCATCTAAAAGCAGGGGAAGAGTGATACAGGCTCTGATGCAACAAAAAGAGAAAGGCATTTTGCCAGGAATATTTGGTAGACTGGTAAGGTTAATTATTTGTTATTTCTTGTGACATTTAAATGACTGGATTATGTATTAGTCAGTTTTATTAGCAGTTTCTTGGCTTTATAAAAAGCAACAACATACAATTAACTTTTATTCCCTATTAGTATACTCTCTTCTGTTCTCCAGTTCTTACAAAGAAACATTACTAAACTATTAACATGCGTTATAGAGTTGAAATAATCTTAACATTTTTTCAAAGCATTTTCACTAAATATATATATATATATATATATATATATATATATACACTTATCACAATTTTGAAGCAGTTTTTCTAAGTAGAATCCTTTTAATAAATGAACTTAAGTTTTCTAACACCTAGTCTGTGTTCTCCAGTTGGTATCCCTTTTTGATATAAAACATTTAATTTAAACTTGCCAGGTAAAAAAATATGGCTACAAGAGATGATTTAATATTCTGATATATTTACTTGACTATTACTTCAATAGCCTGCATGACAGTATTTAAATTCTAAAACCTTCTCTACTGTTAAAACTTGTGAACTTGAGAATGATCTCACTAGTGATCAAAACATTGTACCTGTTTTGAAAATATTCTTGTCTTACTGTAAAAGCTGTAACTTGTAATAGAATAATACTTATATTGAATAAGTAAACTCAAAAAGAAAACTATTAAAGACTGAACTTATTACAAGTGTTGTCAAACAATAATTTTGCTATCACTAAGTTACGTAATGAAATAATATTAACTATGTTTTTAAAGGAGTTATTATTAATTAATGAAGTGTGTAAAGTAAACAATATGAAACATTTATTGAGAAGTACTAAAGATATAACTTGCATTTTGCAACTTAGGTTAATTTATACAAAGCAAAGTATCCTAAGTGAGAACTTTCCAATATAAAATACATACACACATTTTACTTTAAATGTTGTAAAAATATAAAATAAGGCAGACCGTAAAGTAATAATCCAGAAATAATGTTTTTGAAAGAAATATTTGGTTCATGCTTTTAGAAGATTAGAAAGATTTTTCAGACTCTTGTTTTTGCACTATGTTGTTTGGAGTATTAACTTTTAACTTGTTTGTGATAGTCATAATGTCCCACAACATTAGCACTGCTGAAGACCCAGTTTTATTAGAACTGATGACCCTGAGTATGAAAACCCAAAACAATGTTGTTGTTGTTTTAAATTTTGAGATGGATGCAAATTGTTCTGAAAGCAGAAATAAAAAAAAATCCCATACTAATACAGTGGTTAACCTTTGCTTTCTTCTATGATTCATAAACTTTATTTTACATATTTTTTCATGCAAAGTTTAATATTATACAATATTTTAATTTGTAATGTTTTATCATTTCTTGTTAAGATAATACCACTTTATATGAATGAATTATATATGCTAATGCAATAGTGTGCATCTGCAGATCTCAGCCATTGTGACATGTTTACATAGTCGGTTCATAGTGAATTTTCATTCATTGGATAGTGGAATGCCACCATGGTTGCTTAAGGTTGGAGAAACATGTCACAGCTCTCTCTGAGAAAAGAGATTACTAAGCAATATATTGAACTAAATAACACTATTTCAAAGAAGGGAAGTCTTTAGTGTTCTCCAAGGAAGTAGAAAACCTTGCACATCAGAGCATTTAGGACAGCAACACCCTCTTCTGCAAAGTGAATACATGGTATTCCTGTTACAAAGTTTTCTCAAAAAGTAGACAGTTAAGGCTCCCAAACTGGTGGTTTGAAATATACTGGACTATAGAGTATGACTAAGTATCTCTCTGATCCCTAACCAAGGTTGTCAAAAAGAAAAAAAAAGTTGAAGCTGACAGGTGTATGAAATGATAATCTTCATTTACAATTAAACGAACCCAATAGAAATAAGGACAAATGTGTTGTGATGGTTGGGTCAAATTGATAAGAGTGGTGATAAACCTTTATTCAAAGCTTATACGAGTTTGGTGTATCCCTTCTTCTATATTCAACAAAAAACCTCAAAGTTATTATTAACCCTCTTGCTACAGGTATCCTTTTCTGCACATGTCCCAAGGTTTTACTAAGTTATTTTCAAAATTCAATTAAACTACTTTTTTATCATGGTATATGAATAAACTTGGCATAAAAACATAGCTAATAATCCAGATTTTATTATTGTATAAGGTTTATGTTCTTAATTTTATAAGGCAATATTTAAAAAACATCCTGAATTTCAACTAGTATGATAATTATGACATTTGCTCTCCAGGTATCCTCTCTTTTCTAACTTATTTACCACCCCTCCAAGAAGTAGGAAATTTAATGTAAATTACTTATTATAATGTTGTCATTGCTCATGCAAAGCATAATTTTTATAGCCTTCAATCTTATTTGGTTACAAAGCTATTAAATACAAAATCAGACTACACTGATCAATAGAAAACCAAAGCACTAAGCTAACAAATGAGGTATTATATTATGTTGTTTTCTGTACAGAGATTTGTCTATTTTGCTTCCAGTTTAAACTTTATTCCCATGGGAAACACATCATTGACCTTACTGAATTTTTAATGGCTTTTGTCGCTTAGTTAGAAAGCCAGAAAAATTGTGATAGTGGTAGGATATTCTGTTTTTTTTTGCCCTTTTTTTTATTATGTGTTGTTTGCTGCATTATTTAATTAAATACAAAAATTAATCAATGCAGTAGTATCATTATTTTTATTGACAGTTGAGAGCAAAAAAAAAAGACCCAGGTAAGTACTATATTTCTTGTTTTTTATGTGTATTCTTTATTATTATAAAAGTAATTATATTGTGAACATTAGAAACTTTTTAGGTTAGATAAGGTTACATTAGGTAAAATAAATAATAATAGTAATAAAACATTTTCAAGAGTTACGTGTTGTGAGTAGCCCCCACGCGTTATTTAATTTGATAGAATAATTTGAGCTGCATGTTTTCCAAATGATTTACAACTTACATGGTGCAAATGTTACTTGAAAATGGTTCAAAGGGCAATAAAATATAATTGTTACGAGTTTAAATCTATTTGGGGTAAACAGTGTATTTTCTTGTTACAATTTGAAGTCATTCTAGAAAGAAAAAAAAAATGGTAATTTAGACTTATTTTGATTTTTTTTGTAGTTACAAGGTTGATCAAAATAACCAACTTTGTATAGAGTTAGGGTAGAGAAAATAACAGGTAAAATATAAAGTTTTACTGAATTTTATTTAGATGGTTTTAGAGATTATGGAAATGAAATTTCAGATTTTTCAGATGAAGAAAAGTATTTTTAATCTTAACATGAAAATCACTTTGCACTCAGAGCAGTCAACACTTTGACTCCATATATTCATGGAGAAGTTTTTAGTGAAAATACTTCATTAAAAATTCAGATTTTTTGTCTACAAAAGACATAATGCTTTCTAAACTCTTGAGAAATTTCCTGAAGATACATAAAACATGTTATAGTTTATAGTATGAAAACTCTAAAGTTCAATTTTTAGGTGAGCCTATTATAAGATAGTTAAGTAAAAATCCAAAAATTAAAGCTTATAAAGTTAATGCAAGAACTGTGGTTTATTCCTGTAAACACTACATTCTAAAATATACCAAATCCATGTTCATTTGAAGTTAAATCTATGCTGCTGTTACTTTTATAAGGGAAACAAAAGTAATGTTCAAACCACTAATATCAGATTCAAGGTTAATATTAAACACTACTAAATGCCACACTTTAAAGTTTTACTATATTAAAGTAAAAGGTCTAAAGTTAACAAGTTAAAGTCACAAAAGGTTCAAAAATTACTCCAGCATAATAAAAGCTGGCTTTATATACAAAAATGTATAGCACTAAAAAAGCCAGGATTGCACATGAACACACCTCCCATACATAATCTTTGTCCACTGTGAATCAAATACTAGGGTGTGGCAGCCCCTGACTATTATCTGATTTACAAACTGAAGATAGCTTTCCATTTCTGGACATCACCCATATCTTCCCTGAGAGAAATTTTATTGAGTTCCATTTAGTAAACACATTATGGATGTGCCAAAAACAGAGAAGTTGAAATGTTTACTTGAGCAACTCGTCCAAACTGGAAACTTGGGAATACACAATAATTTTAATAAGTTTTACATCTTGACGAGGTATTAAACACATGATATTGTCCTGTACAACAAAAGTTATTATTATATAAGAGAAAAATTGCATTGAAACTGAACTTGTGATACTGTTAACAACATAATAAGCAAGGATTTTGAAGTTAATACAGAAATGCATTTTATAAGTTCACAAAGTGCCAGCCACATCTTCAACTCAATAGGAATTTTACGAAAAGTATGGCCAAAAGAAACTGTAATTCTATTAGCTTTATTTGATCAAATACCTGTCAAAAAGCTTGATACATTTCCTATAGACCTTTCTGCCTTTGGTCTGCTCAAACTTCAACTTGGTAGCTTAGATCCACATACAGTTTGGGCTTGAGGAGAGGTTTTTTTTTTTTTATGTTGTGTGATCTAAGATTGGTCTTGCCATTCTTTACAGAAGTTTGTTACCTTAGAAATTCTTTATTTGGGCAGTTGTGTGTAATCATGGTAATAATGGAAATAGTAATTACAAAGGCAGCATGGAATGTGGAACCTTCTTCTTATAAAGTGTGATTAACCTAAGTACATTTTTATTCTGTAATACTATTTTGCATTATGCTTATAATTATTTTTTTATATACTTTTTCAGTTACATATGGTTGATATTCAACAGCCTTAATCTAATAACAATGCTTAAATCTGTTCTTTTCACCTTCTACCTTTAAAAGTAATGATGCATGTTTTTTCTCTAACCACTGTATTAGTTTATTAGTGAGTGTGTTTTTAGAAAATTTTGTTTTTGCTATTTTCCAACTGTGTTATCTGTTGCATTGATGCTTATTTAATATAGTATCTGACAAACAGTGATCATTGTCAAACATTTATTAAATGCTAGGATTGTGTTGAATATGCATTAGATACCAGTTATTGAATAAACAGTTGTTGTAAATATGCTTTGTATCTTTATGCAGGATTTTATTATATCATACAGTGACTTTGAAGAAATGATTATATTATTTTGAGCAACAGTAGCTGAAAAAATGTTTTGTACATTTATGCATGTAGAATAGTTTATGAAATGCAGTTGTGAACTATAAATGTTTATTATGAAATATTGATGTAAAAGTTAGGAGATAGACATTAGCTAGATATGTTACTTCTGAAAATAGTTATAATTTTCTTCTCATTTCTAACAGGGTGACCTAGGTGGAATTAGTGAAAAATATGATGTTGCTATTTCTACAGCTTGTGGACCGTTAGATAACATTGTCACTGACTCTTTAACTACTGCTCAGAAATGTGTTGAGTTTTTGAAGAAAAATGATATTGGAGTTGCAACCTTCATAGCTCTTGACAAAGTAAAATTCTATAGAATTTTTTAAGTACTCTCTCTCAAGAAAAAGTGCAGAAGATTTATTCCATAAACTTTTAAAGACAAACATTTATTCATAAACTAATAAAACTAGATTGTTCTTAGCTGCTCGCAAACAATTATATATAATTATGCACACTTTATAGTTTTTAACAAAATTTACACTATTGTGAGTATAAATAAGGACCTTAGAAATGGTAAACAATATTTGAACATGATATTACTAATTTTTTCTTTTCACCAAAGGTAAAAATTAAAAATATAATCTGTGATGGAGAGTCAGAACTGTTGACATGGGGAGGCTTTAAGGGGCTTTGCCCACTTGCTTTCAGATTCCAAATTAATAAAAAAAAACAAAAAACAAATCATTAATTAAAATTAAAGTTAAGCCCCAAAATAATAATTGAAAAAAATTATTTCTCTAAATTTCTAAATGGATATGTATAATAGCCAAAATAATTAAATTTATATAAAGCAAACTGGAAGGAGAGTAATTTAACAGTTTGTCTTTCACTGGTGGCTTTTAGCATGTTTACCATCAGGAAAAGTTTGAATGATTGTACTTCGCAGGTTATTAGAAAATACTTTTGTTTGGACATTTTGCTTTTAAGTAAATTTTGTAGTGCAAAATTGATAAAACCAAATGTTTAGGTTCTATAGTACAAAAAAGAATAAAGTTGCATTTTGGGTTGTCTGTTCTGTAAGTAAAAATTATATTTGTTGTACCTGTAGTTCTTTATTTTGCTATTAAGGAAAAATTTCAAATCAGTTACTTTATTAGACTGATATTTAGTATAGTCAAATTGAGAACAAAAACTGTTTATTCTAGTATGTCAATGAATAAATACATTTGTTCAATAATTTTACAGATGATGCTTGTAACATTATACAATCTTCTTTCCTTTCACTCAGAAGTTCTTATTAATAACATATAAACACTTTCTAATTAGATGGAGAGATGGATTCCTTACACAAAGCAAAAGATCCAAACGTAAGTGCTTTTTTTTATTCTTTATTCATTAAATGTTTTTGTTGCTTCTGTAATTTTTCAATTCTTTCTCCAATATTAATATTTTGGATAATGAATGTCTGTGTGTGACAAAGATTTTCATCCAAACTCTGTAGCAATGATTTTATAATAAAGATTTATTTATATATATCGGGGATTGAAATATTACATTCCCATGTTCCTGAGGAATTTGACTTTGCTTGAGAAATTGCATATTTTTAGTTGAATATCCACCCACATTCCTTTAGTTATGACCAATTACAGCGAACATATTGCATATATTAAATATAAAAACGATGCAACTTTACATGAGGGAATATAATCTTCCTAACACTATCTAGAGGTTTCAACTCAACATTATAGATAGGACATTTATTGAACTTCAAAACTGTAAAAAATATTATGTTAACCATAACCTTTCATTTATCAACAACATATAACACATCAAGTTTGTTTCATTCCCTTTTATACCAGAAATTACCAATGAAATTACTAGCTTATTTAATAATTTGAGCATTAGTGTAAAAACTGTATTCAAACCTTCACATAGGATTAACACCTTACTACCTAATTTGAAAGAACCCCTACTAAAAAGACAAAAATATGGCATATATAGTATCCCATGTGGAAATATATAGGACAAGCATCAGGTTCCTTGGAAATATGATTCAAAAATCACCAAGGTAACATGTGGAGAGGTGAATTTTAAATATTTGCTTTAACTTATAAATTTGAAACAGGATGAAAAATACTTAACAAGGAAATTTTTCTCCTACATCAACCCAAAAATAAAAAAAGAAAGAGACTATTTAGGAACTATAGAAATCACCAAAGCAAACAATCTCTCACTAAACTGTGATAAGGGCCATAGCAATATTAGCCATATTTGGCAAGATTTATTCTCCACTCATACACTTGATCAGACTTGGCCTTTACCTATGATTAGGGGTTCACATAATTTTTCATATCAGGTTCCCAATTGAATACCAGTAAAAATGGTTGGTACTCATGGAAATTGGTTATTATCTTACAACTCGCTATCTAGTTCCACTTACGTTTTATAAGGCAATATTTAAGAAATCCTGAATTTCCCCTAGTGTGAGAAATGTGATATTTTATCTCTAGGCATCCCCTTTTCCTCAATTTATTCACCACCCCTCCAATGTAATTTGATAGCATAATGTGAACTGCATAATCCCCAAGTCATTTACAACTTATAATGGCATGAATAGTAGTTAGACATGGTTCAAAGGGCAATAAAACAATAAAATTTGAGTATAAATAGATGTATATTGTTAAGAGTTTAAAGCTACTTAGGATAAACAAATGAAGTTTCATATTACAAACTGAAGTCATTCTAGAAAGAAAATAGAGTAATTTAGATATATTTTGATTATTTTTTTTGGTGGTTACAAGGTTGGTCAAATTGAGTTAGGGTAGAGAAAATCAAAGTTTTACCGAAAACAAAGATTGAAGTGTATTTAGGAGGTTTTAAGAGATTATACAAATGAAATTTGAGATTTTTGAGATGAAGAAAAGTACTTTTAATTTTAACATAAAAATCACTTTGTACTTAGACAAGTAAAAAAAAAGACTAGATATATTCACGGACAAATCCTTTTTTTAATTTTATTAAAAACTAGCAAAAGTGCACTGTTTTGGTTGGATTATTAGGTTGATAGTGTGTGCATTTTAGCATAAAAGTATAATTTATATACTTTTGTTGCTAAGCCACATGACATAAAAGCCATTGTTGGAATGCATTGTTACCAAAATACACTGGCTTTTCTATATATTAGAAATTGTTATATAAGGAATCACTTCTTTTCTATGTGGTTCTTCATTAGCTTGCCTCATTAAAAAAAGATGCATGCATGCACGTGGATAAGTAATAATACCCAGGTGCACACCCTCATGGTCCATATAGTATGGGTGTAAAATTTCAGGTTTCTAGGTTCTTTCCTGTTGGATTTATGGTGTTCACACAGACATGCATGCAGGCACACATGTGCATGTTTGGCTGTCTGTGATTTCTGTTAGTACTATATAATTATCACTTCTTTTCTGTGTGATAATTAGGGGAAATTGTCTGCTTTTTGCATGTTATTATACTGCGTTCTTTGGTGCATTATTTAACCCTTTCAAGATGGGCATAGGTGAAAGGCCATGTCATCTCGTTTGTTGACTCGCATTAAAAATTATTGAACTACTGTTTCATGAATTTATGTCAATAAGTTTGGTATCAAACTGTAGATTATAATTCAAATTTTAGAACTATACATTACTCCATTTCTTAATTTAAAAGTAAATATTAAAAAACACAGATAAACAGCGATTTTTGTGTGTCATGTATGGTGAATGCAGCACTGGTTCAAATTAGATGTTTTGATATCAAAATACAAAGTCTATAGTTTTGTAAGAATTATGAACTCAAATTACCAATACTGATAAGCTAGAATATAAAATAAGAACCTCTTATCTTTTATATTTGCAAGGATATTGCTCATGTAATAAGTCAAACACAGTGGCACCTTGGTCATCTCTTTCCATTTTCGGAAATGCTCCATTATATACACTTACTTCTATATATGACATGAATAACCAATCAGAAGCTCAGAATGTCCCCTAGTGGTTTTCTCATGTCTTTCTTTTGAACCAAGATTTCAAGTGTGCTCAAAATTTCATATTCTGTTAGACTGAAATACAGCTTGGTTATCAAATGTTTCTCAAGAAAAAAACTTCATGTTTTATCTGTTATTTTCAGTAACCAATCTCTGTACGAGTTCAGTCGATTTGATTGATCTCTAACCACCATAAAAATTTAGGAAATGAATATACATTATGCCTCTTTCATTCTAGAATGACAACAGATTATAACATGAAAACATAAATGTTTAGAATAAATAGCTTAAATCTCATAACATTATACATTTATATATATTTATTATTTTTATTATATTGACCTTTCAGCCATGGCTGGCTAACAATACAAAAGTTAAAATTATGTGGTGCACATGCACTCATGTTACCATATCCAGTAACACTTACCTTTAGTCTTTACAAAGTGACCTGTCTTGGCTGTGTTTCAGTGGACTAGTATTTTGTAAAATACAGTCACATTTCAGTTATTATACATTATATATGTATATAGATTATTGCTATTTAGAAACAAGTTCTTATACTTATTTTTCTTAAAACATAGAACAGTGTATAAAGAAGTAAAGCAAACAATTATCTTTTCTAGTTATGAATTTTGTACTCAGTTGCTAAGCCTTTTAAAATTTCGCACAGGGAGGATATGAAATGAAATAATTTTTTTAGGTTTTATATATGCAGTAGAATAACCAGAAAATCCTAAATTACTATATCTTTACCATAGAATTCCACTAATTTATCAAGCATAGTAACTATCTGGACATTATAAAGATTTCACTTATGAAATTTGAAAATTACTTTGCATGTTGCCTATCCAACATGCAAAAAGAAAAAAGACTTGAGAAAAGCATTGCTTTAAAAACCTTAAGACTTAATAAAATAAATTGTTATTTTGCGTATGAAAGCATTGTAATCTTTACTGATAACATGCCAAATTTTGTTAACATACGCTTACAAATTTAATGTTATAGCATGAAAACTATAACAAGCACAAAATAGTTACAAGGTCGGTCCCAGGGACTGAGCCCATGCCGAAAGAATTAAGAGGACATTTAATTGATAGACAAAACAATGGGTAAAAAGATGTAGTGACCTTTATTTTCTGAGCTACCAAGTGAAGTAGTCCTTTTTGACGTGTGTGATCAGACACGCAAATCTAATTACAAATGGTATTTGTCACATACATAAAGGCCATACTCAGTCACAAGTCACAAAGAGAGAGTATGGCAGCCAAAAGCAATAGAATTGAATTGAAAATGTTTGAAGGTAACAGGAAGTTGGAGATTACTGGAAACAAAACTCTAGAAAGATAGAGAACATACATGATCATCATGTAACACTTTTGATAAAATCAATAACTGCTAATACATTGCAAATATTCATAATGCATCACTTTAAGTGTCCATGCAAATGAACTTATTGGAAATACAAAGCATGGTCACAAGTAAATAGACACCACCTTTCCAGAAAAAATGAAAATTTTCAGTCATATTCACATGAATTGA